GCACAGCTGTGATCCCAGCACTTGAGAGGTTGAGGACTGCCAAGAGTTTGAGGCCAGCGTGGCCTACACAGTGAGTTCAAGGGCAGCCTGAACCATATGGTGAGACTTTGTCTCAAAATAAACAAAAACAAAAACAAAAACATTAAAAAAAAAAAAACAAAAAAAAGACTGTTTCTGATATCTGTTAAAACAGGGCCTTATATAAAAAGAACCTAACCAAGGAAGCAATTAATCATCTAGCATAGTCATAGGTCCCATCCATGCTTGGTGACTATGTGGAAGGTGTACAGTGATGGGAAGGTGAGGGAGTGGCAATCCTGGAGATGACTGTGTAATTTTGCACACCACAAAAAATTAGTGCAGGCTTGGAAACAGCCCATTTGCCCATCAGTTGGAGACTGGATAAAGAAGATGTGGTTTTTCTATAAAATGGAATACTACTGAGCCATAAAGAATGAGAAATTAGAGTCATTCATAGGAAAATGGATACATATTGAGGATATACTCCTAAGTGAAATAAATAAGTCACACATGTATAAATACTGAATAGTTTCTCTGGTGTGAAAAACTATAATAGTACATAAGATCCTAATGAGATAACTGACAATGTGAAACAGGAAGAAAAGGGCTAAAGGTGTAGGGAAAATGGGAAGGGTGGGGGAAGGTAATAAGGGAAAAGAAAAAATATGAGAAAATGAAAAAATGGAAATAAAGTGTTTGTAAATGGGGAGGGTAGAAGGGGGTGAAGGGAGGGCAGGGACAAGGGGGAAAAAATGAGAATCAATACCTGTCATGTAAAGGTACAGGATCCAAATAATGAATGTAACTGTTCTGTATACCTAAAATGTACCAATAAACTCAATGAGAGAGCGAAAAAAAATTAGTGCAAGTAAGCATCTAAGCAGTGGACTCAAGACTAGACTTGCATTTGTGATCCCCCTGCCTCAGCCTCTTGGGTAGGTGGGATTACAGGTGTGCACCACATGAATAGCTCAGAAAATGAATACACTCTGTAATGTGAAATAAAAGACAGGTATAATAATGTTCATAGTGACACTTTTCTGAATTTTTGTTTGACAGGAAAGAAAAAAAAACAGCCAGTAGAAAGTAAACTATAGTAAATTCATACAATCAAATACTCGGTATTACTAAGTCTGTTAACTACAGGTAAATCATTAAGTATAATATTGAGGGAAAGCTGTAGAAGACCATGTAAATACAGTATAATTTTATGTATTTGATGTCCGACGCATTCACACACTTTTATTTTGAAACAGGGTCTCACCATATAGTCTAGGCTGGCCTTGAACCTATAGTAATCCTCCTGCCTCAGCCTCCCAAGTACTGGGACTACAGGTGTGTATCACTGTGCCCAGCTACATATTTTATTTTTATAAAGAGGAAAAGAGATTGGGCATGGTAGTGCACACCTACAATCCCAGTGCTCACAAGGGTGAGGCAGAAGGATTGCTGCAAGTCTGAGGCCACCCTATGCTACATGATGAGTTCAAGACCAGTCTGAATTAGAGCAAGACTCTGTCTCAAAAAGAGGGGGCAGGAAGCACAGGGCCCATAAGAGATGTAATATGGGGCCAGGGATTTAGCTCAGTAGTTCGGTGGCCTGCCTTGCAAGCGCAAGGATCTGAGTTCAATCCCCGGTACCAAAAAAAAAAAAGAAAGAGAGAGATGTAATATGGCCTCTATCTAAATGTCCCCCAAACCCTCATGCAGTCATAGGTGGAGCTTTTCAGAGGTGGCTGGATCTAGAGTGTGTGATGCTAGGATTAAGGATGTGATGCTGGGATTGATTTATGATGCAATGCTACGATTCAGGGTGCCCCACCCTGGGTGTAAGGACAGGTAGTTTAGATAGAATATACAGGACAGAAAGAAGGCTACTGTTGCTGCTTGCAGACTGTTGCCTTCTGCCTGCCATGGACTGTTTCTCCTCTGTGATGCCCCTCCCAACATGTCTATCCTGTTCCAGGATTAACCTATGACAAAATAGTTCCCAGCACATTATGGATAAAAATAATTATGTGTTGCCTTGGTTCAAATTTGTCTCTCAACAAATGTTCAAGTTTAATAACCTAATCATTTTATACATTTGAGTTATACTATATTTCTTTAAGCAAAGCATATGAACAAGCAAAGCACTGCATTAACTTCTGAATTAATATTTCTCTGTCCTTCTTTTAAAATACACTGGCTAGGAGGGTTAGTAATCTGCAATCTTATAGAGAAAGAATGGGTAGGAGGAAAGTGAATGTTTATTTTACTCCTAAAACAGAAAAAAAGTCATTTTCCAATCATAAACTCTATGTGTTCATGCTATTTTACCTTCAACAAATTGAAAATATCTACATTATAGATGGAACCCTGAGGGCTTTAAATTTTTTGAAAGTTATTTCCTAATAGTATTGTGGTTTCCTACTCATTTAAATAATAAAGGGATACTAAATGTGTATCTATGTAAAAGTATTTAGCTGCTGATACAGTTGATCTTAGCCAAAAGGCTAAAAAGTGATTAGCTACTGATAACAGGTTCTATACAAACACCGTTTTTATAGGCCATTAATTCTTTCAACAAACACATGCATTAACCACATTTTAGAGTGCTAAAGAGGCAGAATGATATTAAATGTCAGTTTCTGTTCGTTTTTTTGTTTTGTTTTGTTTTTTGAGACAGGGTCTCACTATGTAGTTGAGACTGACCTGGAACTCACTTTGTAGCCCAGGCTGGTCTCGAACTCACAGCGATCCTCCTGCCTCAGCTTCCCAAGTGCTGGGATTACAGGCATGTGCCACCACGCCCAGCAAGTGTCAGTTTCTGAATGGGTTAGTTGGGAAGACAGACAAAGGACAATTCTAACATAGTGTGACATCATCTGCAGAATAACCTAGAGGCACATAAAAGACTATAAGCTCAAGGGGTGAGGAAAAGGGTCCAAGTGCAACTGTGACACCTGGAAGAATCTTCTAATAAAAGGGCAAGAGGAGAAGGGAGTTCCAGACAAAGAAAATCTCAAGTATAAAGGTGTACTGGCACAAGAAAGTGTGTGAATGTCAGAACCAGAAGGGCAAACATGAGGGACAGCCAGAGAGAAAGCTGAAAATATGAGCAAGATCCAGATAATGGAGTGCTCTGCATACTACACTAAGTGATTCCAACCTTAGATTCTAATTTACTATTCCAGTATGGATTCCATAAGGTATCTATGTGGACCCTTAGGGATTTGTACGTATCCTCAAGACTTTAAGATTTCTCTGGGAGAACCTTTTATTTTCAATTTGACAAAACTTTAAAAGAGGAATTTTAACGAAAGGATCATCTGGATCATCTGGATGACCACCTTTCAGTGAGCACTGCCACAAGACTTCAGTTTGCACGTTTGTATTTAGAAGTGGACTGTGTATGCAACAAGTTGTACCATCTGTCCTTGGTGCAAAATGAGAAAAAAAGGGGCAGCATGCATATGTCAAGTGAAGATCTAAGGAGGTCATGTGGTTGAAGTAAGACATGGAGCATTAAGTAATCTTTCTACTCTAGGACAGTACAGACAGGCCTGTAAGGAAGGTAGGCCACTGAGAACAGAATAGGTTTGCTTTTAGAATTCTTTAGGTCCACCAAAAGTCTCATTGGTCACAACGAAGAAGTATGCATTTGAATTTACTGGTTGTATAGCTTTGTTCCATATAACATCTATTTTGAGTATTGTAGTCGTATAAAAAAATATAATATGGTTTATATCTAGTTTTGTTTGCACATATTTAATATATTAAAACATTTTAATGATGGAAAATCCTGGCTATTGATTCCAATTTGTAAAGTTCTGCTCTGAGTGTTCAGGAGCCACTGAAAGACTGTAATATGAAATAACAGCTTTGTGCTTTAGAAAAATCACTATTTTTCTACCCAAGAGTAGTTACAAGCCTACTTAATAATGCGATAAAAATGGTCTGAGATTAATCAGATGAAAAGATGGTAAGTGTTAGAAGGACCTGACTTGGGCCGGGGATTTAGCTCAGCAGTTCGGTGGCCTGCTTTGCAAGCCAAGGACCCGAGTTCAATACCCAGTACCAAAAAAAAAAAAAAGAAGGACCTGACTGTGGGTGGGTGGGGCATCTAGAATGACTCCCTTTGGGAGTTTGATCATGAGATAGTGACCACTGGAAGACAAACAAGTGGGGGGCAAAAAGGAAGGAGAAAAGAGAGAGAAGATGAGTTAGATTCAGCAATTATTTGAATTTCATTTCATCCAAAGAAACTCCAGTTATCTTTTCTAGGTTCCAGTTTTCTTAGTGACAGCTGCATTAATGAATTACCAAATTAACCATTGTAGCACTCTCTAAAAATATACAAAGCACTCCACCATATGCTGTAAATAAGTCATGAAAACTCAGCAAAAGCCAGGCCCTGAGTGAAACGCAGCAAAGTTAAAGAGATATGGCTATTTTTTATTAAACACCTACATTGTGACCCAGCACACTCAGCCAGTACTGTGTTTTTTGGGCTTCCTGTCACATGTGATCACTTATTTTCCTTGAGGACCTAAAAAACAGAGGCAGCTCGCCAAATCACGTGGGAGATAAAAAGACACTACCCTCAAGAGACTTAAAGCAATGGAACCTAAGGTTATTGAAAATTTAGCGTAGTAGGAGCTTTGAACACACAGGCAGGGCCAGTTAACAAAGTATGTTATCTTTTCCTTAGAGAAATCAACGTGGAATATCTTAGTCCAATAAAAATGCACTTCATGTTGTAGTCCTTATAAGAAAAAGGTAGTAATTATCGCCAAACCATCTACTGTCCAAGGAGCCCACACAAAGGCGGGCCTCTGGGAAAAAGTAATTCAGTCCTTGTTCGGTGGGAAAGCCTGCATCTTCTACCAGTAATCATAATACGTACTGTACAAAGAATAGTGTTTATACACCCAAACTGTTTAACAGTCAACTTCATCCATAGCGTCCACATCTAAAGGTAAAGCCACGGGGCGTACCTTTGGAAGGTCGCACTCGACACAGCGGCCCTCCCGACAACTGGCGAGCGGCAGGGGTTGACACGCGCTGCAGTAGCAAGGCGGGAAGGGACACAAACCCGAAAGCAGACACTCGGAGGAAGTGGGACCAGGAGGCGGCAGCACAGCGCCCCCAGGGTTCACGGCGCACGACTAGTGCGCGCCCGGAAAGTGGCACCAGCCCAGTGCGCACCCGACGGGCGG